CATCAGACATTGGTCAATCTACATGTCATCATATAAATAAAACTATACTCAAAATCATTGTAGATGTGCTTAGTCCAAATTAAGCCCCGCTATGGCCGTTATGCAATCATATTGTTTAAATAAATATATTTTTTAATACTAAAATCTCATACTTAAGTGAGAGAGAAAATAAAAATATGACATATTATAAAATTTAATTAGGCGTTCTCTTGCAGTTACCCGTGGGTCTTTGATTCAGTTAGGCGTTCTCTTGCAGTTTCTGGGTCGGGATTTAGGGGCGCGACTCTGCCATTGTTGTGTTCGGTGTGTCTTTCTGCTGTGGGAAGGGCTCTCGTTATTGTTTTGTTTTGTCTAGTTTCGTTTGTTTAGTGCATGTTTGTTTTGTGTTGTCCAGTTATGTGTTGTCTAGTTTTGTATTGTTCGTTTTGTGTTTTTTGGTTTGGGTCGTTGGCCTCTGTGCGCCTGAGTGTCACTTTGTGCTCCCGAGTGTCACCTTATTATTCTGTTGGGGTCCGACACTCGGGTATTACCCTGTTGGGGTCCGACACTCAGGTATTACCCTGTTGGGGTATTGTAGTTGTTTTAGTTGTTTTGTGTAGTTGGTCGTTTAGTAGCGTCAGTTTTTTATTCTAGCGTTTGCTAGCTCGGATTCTAGGCGGTCTTCAGACCTGTCCTCCCTCTTTTTTCAGTTCCTCTTTTTTCAGTTGTTGGCTGCTGTTTATTCAGCCGTTGGCTGCTGTGTATTCGCACATTTGTGATTTTTTATTTATAATACTTCTATCGTTTCGAAAAAAAAAAAATAAGATTTAATTTTTGTTAAAAAATCATAACATGTAGACTGTTTCATAACACAACTTTATAAGCTAGAAAGAGATGTCGTAGTCTCGATCTCGTTGATTGGTCTGCTTCAAATAAACTTGATATTAGGTCCACTGGTGAATCACTATGATTATAAATAACCTAACTAATTACTTAAGATTTCAGGTATGAAATAAATAAATTTGGTGCGAATTCAATGTAATTCACCTGCCCACGGTAGACAGTGTCCACCACTTTATTTTATATGAAAAACGTATTTTGAGAATACGTTTTTCATATAAAACAAAGTGGTGGACACTGCCCACCATGGGTAGGGGATCAAAATTTTTAATGTAATTGGGCCACAATGACTTTAAGAGGAGCGGGTCACAGTAATGTCTCTTGAGCGAAGAGCGGTCTTTCCCGATTTGGGGAATTAGGGTTCCACTTTGGGTGGATTTCATTTGCTGTTAAGATTCTGAAGATCCTTTTGCATTATTTTCCTTCTACGTTTCTAGTCTTTCTCCTACAATGTCGCGGGGAGCTTCGAGTCCAAACAAAGAAATGGATTTGAGGCAAACAGCAGCGATCGAACAAGAATTATCAGGCAAACTAGCGAATTTCATTTTATCAGCGGACGAAAAGGTCGAGGTTAGTCTCTAAGATGAAGATGCACACATGGGGCTAGAGGAATGTAAGAAAAGTCTCATATGCAGAGTTTTCGACGAAAAAAAAGTAAACTTCTCGGGCTTAAAAACCACTATGCTTAATATCTGGCCAATCCGGGAGGGGTTCACTCTGCGAGAGCTCGGTTTCAACAGCTTCCAATTTATATTCCATTCGAGCACAGATAAAGAAAGAGTATTGAACGGAAATGTGTGGACATTTGACAACCAATACCTCATTCTAAAGGACTGGGAGGAAGGCATATGCCAGCGAGTGGAAAGCTTCAATACTATCGAAATGTGGGTGCAAATCTGGAATGCACCAATACATTGGATGGCAACAGACGTGGGCTTTAAATTGGGAAGTGTCTTTGAGAAAGTGTGGGATGTTGTACTACCTGACTCAGGTAGTATTAATGGAATGCATATGAAGATCCGTGCCACAGTAAATCTTGAGAAACCTCTCCCAAGAGGTATCAAAGCAACTATGAGGAACTCATCTTATTGGGTTGATTTCAAATATGAAAACCTAGTAGGCTGTTGTTATTACTGCGGTAAGGTGGGTCACCTGGAAAGAAAATGTCTGCGGAGACAAGAAGACTTTGACAACAAATGTCTGAAACATGGTCAATATGGTGAATGGATTAAGGCCCCGTTGGGAAACAGAATGTGGTCACATCGGGAGCATAACAAGGATTTGGTCAGAACTCCAACTAGAACGTCTGTTGAGCCGAGAGGGAATGAGGTCGCAGAAGATAGCAAAACAACCTCAATGGAGAAAGGTTTAGAACCTAGCCTATCAAAGTTCAATCTCGATTGCGACGAGGCAAGGACAGATGAAAGGGAGGTGATGGCTGCAAACTTACTTGGTCTTGATAAGATCAGTAGCAATGAGGAACCAGAGAGAGATATTAACATGGAGGATTGGACTGGGGACAGTGAAGTTGAAGTTAGAACTGGAAACAGAACAGGTGGCAAGAAAATACAAGGAGTTGAGGAAAAAAAAGAACCAAGCAAGGCCTCGGCCACTCAGGGAAATGAGGAAGATGGGAGAGGAGCAACAGATAAAGGGCCTGCAGCTTTAAAAGACAAAATTAAAAAAGAAAAATGGGCTGCTCTTAGAAGTAGAAGAATGTTGACAGTAAATGAAAATGAAGAGAAGCTTGAAATGGTTGGTAAGAGGAAATCAAATTCTCTGGAAGATCATGGTGAAGAGCAAAAGGGAGGTAACAAGAAACTGAAGACTGTTGAGTTTGACACCGCAAGTACCAAAAGTTCAGAGGGGGTGGGCGCCAACCCAAATTGGGCCCCAAGTGATCAATGAAGGTTATGGGGTGGAATTGTAGAGGCCTGGGGGGGGCCTTTACAATTTCCCAGCTGAAGGAAGCCATTCGGCTCCACCTCCCAGATTTGGTTTTTCTTAGTGAAACAAAAAAAAAAGAAAAGTTTTGTTACTACTGTTGCTAATAATATTAAATCTTTCAAAGGATGGCACTATATGGACCCAACAGGCACAAAAGGAGGGATGTTTTTTGGTTGGGGACGAAAGATCACAGTCCATAATTTCTTTTGGTCCAATTTTTGTGTAGAAGTGGAATGTAGTTGGGAAGATCAACCAGGAAAATGTTGGGTGGTTTTTGTTCATGCCGATACGGATGTTACTGTCCG